TTCTAGGCTTTGATCCAGGAACTTTACCCTCAGAATATCCCAGTTCTAAAAATACTCTGCACTGTGACTACTGGTGTCGTTTACTTGACCTGTTGGTGTAAGGAATAATTCAGTCTTGCTTTTTAGTAGCTTCACTTATGTTCTGATGTTAAGAAGTACTTTCCCAAGTAGAGCAGGCCTATTCTGACTCTTTTTCCTTGCAAAACTTGAGCTCTGATTCAGGACAGATCAGTAATTAGAGGTGAGGGTTCAGCAATGCGATAATGGTTGAATGGCCTAATGAAACTTGTATACTGGAGCAGGGGCTTGCAAACTTCACTGCACTGCAACCCCCTTCTGACAACAAAGTTACTATATGACCCAGGGGGTGCGGAGCCCGAGCCCCACTGCCCTGGGTAGGGGTAGAGCTTGGGCTTCAGCCCTGGGTCCCAGCAAATCTAATGCTGGCCCTGGCAACCCCATTTTGGTCCTGACCCAGTTTGAGGGCTGCTGTACTAGAAACTATTGTAAATTTCTGCTAACTAAGGCTCTAAAATAGCAGTTAAATAATAATCCAATGATCCATACAGTAAATATTTAATGAAGAAAGCACATAATTTGCTAAACTATTTTTAACTTATGATAATCAAAATGCCAGCTGTTCAACACCCTATGTGAAATAAATCTGGAGTCTTAATCCAGTTCGTTGTAGATAAGTGTCCACATCACCATTAGGTTTCCTTTGTTGACAGTAATAGCAGAGAGGCCTAGGATTGAATGGGAGGCAGAACTGCCATTTTATTGACAGGGTGGTTCTTCCAGATCAGGAGTGTGGGGTTACGACTGCCTATGCACCTCTCACCAGCACTAAATTGGGGTGGGGGGCTGTGAGAGAAAATGTCTCTTTGAATGGAACTCTAAAGCTAGGACTGAAATAGTAAAGCTATTTTGGAAAGTCCGAGAAATTGTAAGTTTAGACGTTTGCAAAAGCTGTCATAAAACTCATCAGTCTTTATGGAACAAAATAAACACCTATCCAGTTAGCAATTGTAAGGTCCTAAACAGGGTTTATTACCTCTGCTATGGCTGCAGTGAGACAATCAATTTGAAGGATGATCCAGGAGCACTTGCTAGGGTCAGAATTTAAACAAATCAACGTTTAGCAGTTCAGCATTTCAGTATGAGTGATGCATGTTCGTTTAAAAATGTTGCACATGCTGATCCATAGAATCTGTGGGCTTTAACAGCAAGACAATTTTTAGAGTTTAAAAATGCTCCATGATTCAGACATCTGATCCAAAGACCTTTTTGCAGTCCATGGGAATCTCTGTATAGACTACACTGGGCTTTGAATCCTTGTAGAAATGAACTCTAATCTCTGTAGCCAGATCCAGAGCTGCTTGTATTGAAACTCTCCTATGCAGCTTTGTTTACATTTGCTGTGAATTGGGGTTTGGCTTTAACAAATAGGCTATTGTATTAATATTAAAATGCATGCAAGAACTATTCTAAGATTTCATAGCTGATTACTTTCATGTGTGTGTCCTGTGCTGGTGTGGAACAATACTGACAGTGGTTGATTAGACTTATCACATTTGTGTGGCCATCTTGAGTGACTTGGCAGAGGTTTAATCTGCAGTACCTGCTAAACTCAGGACAAGGTTGGTCAAACTGGATTAAAGCGGTTATGTCCAGGCTACTGTGTTTAAGAACACTTCGCTCATCTTAAAAGTTGCCCAGTTTTTTTTCAAATTCTGTTGCTGTTCCAGTAACAAACTAAATGTTGGATGAATTTAACCCTATGTATGCTCAATGGAGACTTGCAATAGTGTTAATTTCCAGGATGGATTGATTTAAATCAAGGGAATGTAAAACATCAAGTGGGAAAGCCTTGACTGAAATCAGATTTTAATCAACTTTTTCATTTATACTTGTTGTTGTTTTCTTAAAAACGGATGCATTCTCAGGGGCTCATATAACCATTAAAATATCTTGATTTACAATTAAATAGAACCTTTACACTAGATTTGGTACATCGTTTTGTTACTTAGTAGGGTACACTATAACTATATACATTTAGCTCATTATTTTCAGATTCTTAATAAAGTTCATTTTTAGTATGAAACGGATGCAGAATATTTTTTTTATTTACTAGATAACTTTCTGCTCATGATTTGTCATGAAGCATTATGATGGTAACTTGGAATTTAATTACACACGCGGCATATACAACTTATTTTTATTATACAAAACAACCTTAAATGTTTTGGACACATAAATTTCTCTTATCAAAATGTTTCACATTTACAACTAATTATTTAATAAATAGATGGATTAACTGTAGTCACTGAATTAAATTGATTATTTCAGGTCAGCTTGGGAGATTTTTCTCATATGGCTATGTGACTGGAGCTTAAGTTCCTACTCACCTAAGTATCTTGAAAATGAAACAGTCTAAGTTACTAAGCTGACCTTTTGTGCCAGCTTGACCTCAAAAGTTAGAATCAGGGGAAAATAGTTAAAAATCAAAAGTTTTTTTTGATAGAGGCTCAGGGTTCAGCATATTATTTCATGTTAAATGTTTAAGAGATTGTAAATTTAGGCCTAACGTGTCATGGGATATTCAGATTTCATTTTAAACAGGTTTATTTTTTAAAAGGAAAAAAAACTTAATAATCAAAATCCTTTTTAAAGACAAAAATCTGATTGATTTTTTTTTAAATCCATTTTTATCCACCCTGTTAATTTCTAGTGTCTTCTCCTCCTTCAGCTAAGTACCACAGATGATTACTAAGTATCCTCTTCTAAAGTTCCATCTTGAGCCAATGAGACTCTTAGCCTGTATAAGGGCCACAAGATGTGGCCTTTTTTTTTTTTTTTTTTTTTTTTTTGCTGCTCTTTGCATCTTTACTAGGAAAAAAGATGTGTTTAACTCCAGTTAGCTAAATCAAAGTAAAATCCTAGTGAAGATCAGACCAATGTGTTGGCCACAAGGTTGAGGGGTTTTGTGCTGACTTCCTTCCCCCCCCCCCCCCGATGGGACTATCAGTTAACTTTTACTCCATTATTTTACTCAATAAAATAAATCTTACAGAATAGTAACCTTGTCTCTCTCTAAAATAAAAAATAGTGGCTGTTTAACACATCTCTTCAAACTGTATTTCAGGTACAGGAGTGTTTGTCTATACATGCCACAACATCATCTTGTTTTTTGGGGGGGGGGGGGGGGGGGGTTTGAGAAGACCACTCTTCTGGTGTAAGAGTAACCCTAAAGAAACCATGGTATGCACACACTCTTACCACTGTGCAGATGCAAGCATTTCTTTTAAAAAAGGCCAAACAACAAGTTAATGTTCACGTGTTTGTGCTTTTTAGTATTGTTGCAGCTTTTACCTTAGAAAACTACTGTGCATCTTTTCTGACCAGTTTGATGGATAAACCTATTTTGCTTTCATTTTTTGGTCACTACCTAAAAGCCATGTGAGTGACTTGGAAACTCAAAAAAATGAGCAGATGCTCGAGTTTTGAGAACAGCAGAAAGTGTCTGGAACTAAACACTTTCCCCAGTAGTCTGACAAGTCTCAAGCATTGGGTATATTGTGGGGGAAGGGAAGGACGGGAAGGGAGGGGAAGCTTTTTGTGGGTGAGTCACTAAACCTGGAGGTTTCAGGCCTATGTAAATATTTTTGTGGCTGAGTTGTGTTTCTTAAGGAATAAGAGGTTGCCATTTCACAGCCATCTTGGCCAGGCCACCCAGATTAATGAAAATACTGTTTTTCAATGGCTTTTCCTGGATATATGAAACTGCTGTTCTTTCCATCCCCAATGCCCTAGAAACTGATACAGATTAACTATATTGGTTTTTCGCATCTGAGTACCCTTATAAAACTTGATACAAAAGAACCAAGGGTTATATTGTAAGCAAGACACAAGAAGTAATTCTTCTACCTACTTAGCACTGATAAGGCCTCAACTGGCGTATTGTGTACAGTTCTCACCATCACACTTTGGGAAAGATGTGGACAAATTGGAGAGCAACAAAAATAATTCAATGCCTAGAAAACCTGACCTACCAGGAAATACTGGGGGGGAAATGGGTTTGTTTAGTCTGGAGAAGAGAAGACTGAGGGGGGGACATAGTTTTCAAGTACATAAAAGGTTATTATAAAGAGGAGGGAGATAAATTTTTTCTCCTTAGCCACAGGACAAGAAGCAATGGGCTTAAATTCCAGCAAGGGAGATTTAGTTTAGACATTAGGAAAAGCTTCCTGTCAGGGTAGTTAAGCACTGGAACAAATTACCTAGGGAGGTTTTGGAATCTGTCATCAGAGGTTTTTAAGAACAGGTTAGACAAACACCTGTCAGGGATGGTCTAGATTGTATTTAGTCCTACCTCAGTGCCGGGGACTGGACTAGATGACCTATCAAAGACCTTTCCAGCCTTACATTTCTATGATGCTTTGTTTTGACTTTTTGAAGTTTGAACTTAAAACTACACTTAAATATAAAAAGAACAGGAGTACTTGTGGCACCTTAGAGACTAACAAATTTATTAGAGCATAAGCTTTCGTGGGCTACAACCCACTTCTTCGGATGCATATGCATTCTTTTTGCGGATACAGACTAACACGGCTGCTACTCTGAAACCTACACTTAAATATGCAATTATGTTTTTATCAGTTGACAGTTGTGCTGCTGGACAGGATAAATAGCTTTAATACTTTGAACTTGCTTAGCTATTCTTTAAAGTGTGGGTGCCTTCAATTAAAAAAAAAAAAGTCCTAAGTACTTACTACAGTAACAGCTTACTGTCCTTGTGGGTATTACCTTTTATTAAGTAAAGGAATTGCAGCAAATACTGCAGTAAAGCAAAATATATGATTGGTAACTTAAAAAAAAAAAAATCACAGTGCATGTTGGTACAAAGCCAACACCTGAGTGAAGGGAAGGTGGGAGGAGAGGTAATGTCAATCTTCAAATTACTTCCATCTGTATAACATGTGTGAATGTGTCTCCAACAGAAAATGATCCACAGTCTGTTTCTTATAAACTGTTCTGGTGATATATTCTTGGAGAAGCACTGGAAGAGCGTTGTGAGCCAATCTGTGTGTGATTATTTCTTTGAAGCTCAGGAGAAAGCAGCTGATGTTGAGAATGTTCCCCCTGTCATCTCAACGCCCCACCACTACCTCATCAGCATCTACCGGGAAAAAATCTTCTTTGTGTCTGTCATACAGACAGAACTGCCACCACTCTTTGTAATTGAATTCCTGCACCGAGTAGCAGATACTTTCCAGGTCTGTCGCTGATAAATTCTTTGAATTTTCAGATTGGCCAAGTGTGTCTCTTGCACAAGTTTAAAAAAATAGTAGCAAAACCCTCTCTGTCAATAATCTGATTCCCCTTGTGATCTATGGTTTTTTTTTTTTTTTTTTTTTAATCAGAGTTTTGCTTAATAAAGCACGAAGTCACAAAAGGTTTGCTTTGCTTCTTTACTTGTGGATATTAACTTGCAGTAAACATACACATCAAACAGAACAAATACTGACTTACACAATCTTACCAAAAGGTGGAAGTTTTTGTATTGTTCATGTTATACTGACGCATCTGGTGTAATAAAACTGCCCATTACAACTGGAATTTTTGTAATACAGCTTACCATGATGCAGCTTAAAGCTACTTGACAGATGAAACGAATAGCACTGAAGAACCTACATGGTGGTGTATTCAGAGTATTCCCTGAACTGAAAACTGAACAATGACCAGAGACTGTACCCGTACTTGCACTGGACTCTATAATAATCCTGTGATTTAAGACGCGTCCAAAAATGCCCTTGCTAGAATTATTATTAGTTTGTTTTATAAGCAAAATAAACTTTAAAGTGTTTTTAATATGAATAAAAATCCTTTCCCTTTTGTAATCTCTGATTTGTTTAGGATTATTTTGGAGAGTGCTCTGAGACTGCAATTAAGGACAATGTGGTTATTGTGTATGAGCTTCTAGAAGAAATGTTAGACAATGGCTTTCCATTGGCAACGGAATCAAATATCTTAAAAGAGTTGATTAAACCTCCCACGATTCTGCGCTCTGTTGTCAATTCCATCACAGGTATGATTAAAACAGATAACTAGCTTTGAAGTTTTTTAAATAAAATGAATTAACTACTCTTTGGGAAGATCAGTGGTTCAGTCAAGCTGGAAGGGCATATTGAGTGGGGTCCCACAGGGATTGGTCCTGGGTTCAGTTCTGTTCAATATCTTGATCAGTGATTTAGATAATGATATAGAAAGTATACTTATACTTTGTGAATGATACCAAGATGGTGGTGGTTGCAGGTGTTTTGTAGGATGGGATTAAAATTCAAAATGGTCTGGACAAAAACTGGAGAAATGGTCTGAAGTAAACAGGATGAAATTCAATAAGGACAAATGCCAAGTACTTCACTTAGGAAGGCACAATCAGTTACACACATACAAAATGAGAAATGACTATCTAGGAGGAAGTACTCTGGAAAGCGATCTGGGGGTCAGAGTGGATCACAAGGTAAATGAGTCAATACCATTGCCACTGTTGCGCAAAAAAAAAAAAAAAAAAAAAAAAAAAAAAAAAAAAAAA